GGCGCGGATTAAAGGCACTTTCGCCGATAAACTAAGGCCAGGTTCTCATAAACGTGCACGATAGAGGCTATATCGTTTTTAAAAGTCGAAAAACAGCAAGCAAACGCAGCGCGGCTCAGGTTTTAGCCCATTGGCGCCGATAGGCCCATGCCGGCCTCCAGTGACCCTGTCGTTGTCAGACTGCCATTGCGTCTCCCTCGCCGTCGTTTTTAGGCCTCTCTCGTCTCTTGTCACTGTATCGCCGCCTTTCGCAATTCACAATGGATCGTGACCACGTTAAGCTCGTCCGGTGATCACGATCAATTGCAATAAAGAGGGTCTTATTCCGGGCACTTTCCGTGCTTCCTTCTCGTTCAATAACTCAACAAACACACGTCAGTTCTATTTCGAACCGTATTACCTATGAGCTGTGGTCGCGGGATCGCCTTTAAATGCATTGAGTTTAGTTGCTGAGAGCACCTTGGCCAGCAGGAAGTTGTAGCATCGCTAGCTTCTGGTCCATTCCAGGGCCTCTTTACAACATAGAAGATTTCTAGTAGCGGTAAGCTCCTGATTGAACTATATTGCTCTTCATTCCATCGTTGCTCTCTTCTACCTATGGGGCCTCTACTTAACCCATTGTCGTACCCGCGCGCTGCACCGTATGCAGCACGCTCATTCGCCGTTGTATGCTCGCATGCTGCACATCTGGAATTATTTTGCATCCTTTCCTGCCACAAAGTTGCGAGCATACGTTTCCGAACACGGAGAACAACATAAGTACGTGGGACCTCGATCGCTGAAGGAGCACTTGGGTTATCGACCTCTTTCATGAAATGCTTCAGTTGCGATCTTCTTCAATTATTTTCAGCGTTCGTAAACACTCGTAAAGGATTGAACAGGAGACCGTTGATGATATGTGTGGAAACACTTAATGCAGAAATATTGATCGAAGGTTGTGCATCTTGTGTTTACTGGTATTGTGGTTTCTAGCGTACGGAGAACCATTCGTCCGGGGAAAGGTTCCTGAGCATGAGACGCATCTCCTCCTTGAGCTCCTCTTCGGTACACCAACCAACCAACCAACAAAACAGTTCATTATTTGTATGAATCGATTCCTACTCATGAGCTTTGCTGCGAACGCTCACTAAACACCTTTTTTGTGAACCAGTAATCTTTGAGGTTTGACCTGATTTCGAGTCCCATTTGGAAAGAAATTGCAAAAACTTCAGTAGTTCGCCCCCATCGAGATTAATCCAGTTTGAGTACTTTGCGATAGCATAACGATTGGTTTCTCTACAATCAAACCAACGAAGTCGTCTGTGAGAAATAGCCGGAAAAATTGGATTGGGTACTGGTCAGATAATGACATGGAACATCTTCATTCAGTACACCACCGGTGCCTTGAAAGTCAAAATTGTTTTGCCTGCTGATATTTGGGGTCATTGAATCCCCTCTACCATTTGTATCTGAGCCTTCTTCGCTTGATTTCCGATCGGACTCATCACTTGAATGGTTCACGCGGACAACCATATCTTCTGGGGTATCAGGGCCCTGTTCCATCACTTCGCCATCACTTTCAATCAGAAGTTCATCGAACGATCTATTCAGCCGTCCATCATTGCCTATCTGGGACGGCACCTAAATTAAGCGTAGTTTCCCAAAACAATAGCCTGGAGAAGCAAAAATGACGTACGTTGAGTTTATACTTCGCTGCGGGCGCGAGAAATACCGCTCTGCGTGGCCGGGTGCTGCACCATGTGCAGCACGCCGGCGAGGTTGCGAAATATGGGCACACGCGGCAGCCAGCGAAAAAACGCCGCGGTACGCAATGGATTAATCGACTGTCCCTACGTTTCTTTTCTTCACAGTTTCTGCACTGTTTTTATTTTCTAACATTTTCGTTCACTCTACAGTTCTTGATAATTTTTTTTCTTCATTCTGTTGTTCTCCTTCCTGCCTTGCTTCTCCCGTATCTCATTTTGTTGCAGAACTGTTTCGTCACCTGCTATTAACTGGGCACGTCCCTGTACGTATAAATAAATAAAACACTTGTCCGACCTATTACTGGGACTAATTCTGTCGCAGTATTGTGCGATGAGAAAGAATTTCAACGTACAATCGGTCTTGTTCACCCTTCGATTCCCGGTTCTCACAAGAGTGAAAAATATCATATATAGACCGATAGTGAGTCACTTTATACTAATTTCCATGTGCGACTCTCTATGAATCTTGACATCGTTTAATTCCGTATAAGTTTTGTAAAGTTACTAAGCTTAAGACCAAGATTGTTAGACTTTCGTTTCGGCGTTCTCACCTTCTTCAGCGTAAAGTCGGATTACATTTGGGAAACCCTTCGTATAAGCACTATTTCAACTTACAAGAAAGTTCAAAAGACGTAAACTACCAAGGTGGCGTCACTAGAGCTACGAAAAAAAACCGAATGAGTGCATACGTGCGGCCGCATCTAGCGTAACGCTCATTGGCACCATGCCTACGGGGAACTCGTCCGAGATTACTTCCTGAGTCATGGAGAACGGAGGCTTTTCTTCGCAGGTTTTTGACAGTTTGACTTCGGTTTTCCGCCATTTCCCCACTATATGGCACCTGCTAACATTCCAGACCGAGTACCGAACTATCGTGCCATATGCCTGTAAGGGAGCTCCAGATGGTCCATCACGTAGATCAAACAACTCCAAGAGCGTCCAAAGGGTGAGTGCGCTGCTGACCCGCAATAAACTTTTCCTATCAAGTGTACTTCATAAAGAAAAAGGTTCAAATGATCGCCTTTATCATAATACATTGCACGATTTGGAAAAATGTTGAGATCACGGAGTACAACACCCGTTCAATAAGATCAATACATGTGATTACACTAAATATAAGACTGCTAACGATTCAATTCTTTCATACGACGAAGGAAAGTTGAGCCGTTGTTGAGGGTAAATTCCTCAGAACAAGAAAAAAACTTAAAAAGAAACAACTCCGTCACTTATAATTACATAATAATTGTTAAGGAGGAAGAAAATGGGCGTAATAGTTGATCAATAAATAAAACCTGTTATACATTACAGTCCTCATCATTGCAGACCGGTGGGGCGGGTGAGCCGCGCTGCATGTGACTCGGCTGTGATGACAGTCGCGTCACAGCCGAGGCACACGCGGCGCGGCTCACCCGCCCCACCGGTCTGCAGTGATGAGCACTATAGGTGTCATCAGTGTTGACTCAAAGTACGAAGTTCCTCGTACGTCTGCCGATCACGGTGTATCCGTCGGACTGAAAAAGAGCAGTAAAAATTCTGAATCTATTGACCCTTTCACAGATAAAGGGCTCAAGCCCTGCTACTTGACGTTACATGTAAACTCTCACACTACAATCAGTAACACGTAGTTCATGTCCACGAGAAGGTCGCGCGTGAAGGGAACAAAATAAGTCACATGCGCTGGTGGCGGTGCACTAACGCGCAGCGCGCCGCTACCGCGCGCGTCCCAACCTGGTCACTTCCAGCACAATTGTCTAAAGGACATAAAGCGTAATATTCGTGCATGCATTCTTAGTTTTTATACAAAAGTAGTACACAACACTTCAAAACATTCTATTAGCAAACACATGTATTACTACCATATTTCTCGAAATCAGCGCTCACAGTCTCGACAATAAAGTTTTGGACAACGAATGGAAAGCACAAATAGCTCTTGGATCTTGTGTGCGTATTTCGAGCCATATATTACCTTGAACAGTCAGGGAAATTCTAGCGATTCGACCGTCTCCTCCCAAAGAACATTGCTAAACACGAAGAACAACACGTTTCAGAAGAAAACCGCACGTGAATAGGAATGTATAAAAGAAGCATGACATTGAAAAAGCAAGCATTACGAAGGCATGAAATCGTCTAGTTCGCTGCTGATGAAGAGGCGTTTCCGGCGGCATGAGTTTGGCGCGGCGCCAAACCGGTACTCCACTAATTGCTGAAGAGGGTAAACGACAACAATTGGTGGAAAACCGATTTGGCACCGCGCCAAAACCATACCGTCTGACACGCCCCTTCATTCGCAGCGAACAGGACTGTACTTGGACATGAAGCAACAGATGTGCTTGTGCTGTAAAGCAGCGTCCTAAGCCTCTAAGAAAGTCGCAAGGTACTACTCAGTAGCGAAAACATGAAGGATAGCGAAAACAAAAGAGAACACTGGAAACTCCGACCTCGCTTATTATGATAATTGATAATTAACGCCGAATTCCGCGTCCCGAAAATAATCACAATGATGCCGAGTTATGGGCAAAAGTATTAACCCAGCTGGGGCTGGAGCTCACATGTTGAGCTTCCCGGTCAAGTGCGCAGTTTTCTACGCCACGGATGCCGCCTCTTACCCACTTTTCAGATGGAGACTATCTGTTAACTAGCAGCTTAGCCTGCGCTCATACGTTGCGGCAGCCCACCAGCGTCCACTAGCGTTTCGAGGGTCCAGAGGCTAGGAAATTAAAGATATCGATCTAGCGTATGCCAGCGTCTGCTGGCCCTTCAGGGTCTACCAACGTTTCGAGGGTTAGGGAAGTATGGTATCGATGCGTCCAGCTTGCACCAGCGTCTACTAGCGTTTAGGAGAGCAGAGTATGGCGCGATAGCAGGGTTGCAGACTGATGGTAAAGTATGCGGAGATAGGAGGGTGGCAGTCTACTGGTAGAATAATGGCGCGATAGGAGGGGGACGAGCTTTCTGCTACACTTCTATCGCGCTATACTTTCCGGGAGCTGGTATACGCTGGCGGACGTTAAAACGATACTATACTTCATTGAATATTGAGACGCTGGTGAACGCTGGTAGTTGCTGGCGCACGCTGCTAGAGGCCGGAGGACGCTCGTAGACGCTAGATCGTTATCTACGCTTCCCTGGACGCTGACGCTGTCGGACGCTCGAAACGTTAATGGAAGCTAGTAGACGCTGATGGACGGTGCCGCAAAGTATGAACGCAGCTTTTCTTTGTAAAATAATATTTCTTGGGGATTTCTAAAAATTGTTTCATGGTACTGACCGTTGCTGAGTGTTCGTGTAGTGATTACGAACAGCTCGTTGCAGCACTTCAATTTGAGCCCTCATCTCTTCCTGGGCCGATATTAGACGTTGCATTGAGAAATGCATTTCTGCTACTAACTGAACATTCTTTTCATTATACGTCACTTCAAGGCACTTACTTTGCCAATAGCGCGAAAAAACCTACTCGAGTTACTTGCTGGTTATTAGCTGAATTGTTCTCTGCGAAAACACGCATTTCGTTCTTTATGGCGCGGAACCTGGAATAGAGAATTGTTGAAAGAAAGAACGTCTGAAGCACTTGGCATTAATATTTATACCCCTCGCTTCGCTGAGGACGCTGGGCCGCGTTAGGGTACTGGAAGCTGGCAGGCGACCACATCTGGCGAAAAGCTGGCTGGCGCCGCGCCAAACCCAGCACCCGCCACCCCAGCGTCCGCAAGAGGGAACATTGTCAAGAGCTCGAACAGGATATCATTAGTTGCGAATTTTGGTGTAGAGTCCCAACGACCTCTCCCCCTCTAAGAGCTGGTATCCCCCTCCCCCGCTAGTCCCCTGTCTGTAGAGCAGGGAGGGGTATATAGCATATGGAAAACGGGAAAAACAGCAAGTGTGATACAACAGCACCTTCCCCATCTTACCTGCCACTTTCTAAGAGTTCCCCAACTTCCTACCACTTCTTCTAGTTTTCTGGAATTTTCCAGAACTTATCCAACGTTTTCCTCAAATTTTTCTGTCGAGAGGGGGGGGGGCTATATTTGAAACACACTTGAAACAGGAAAAAAAAACAACGAACAGTGAACAATCGGGAAATATATTTGTTGACACCGCAAATTTTTCTCCCAAGTCAAATACGGCCCTTCCCTTTACGTCCGTGAGCCGAGAAAAATCAACTATCAAAAAAGTTTTCTCAGACCAAATACGACCTCCTCCCCACAACCAAATACGACCTCCCTGTTGGGGACGTTTTGCATGCATGTATGGAACCAACGATGTTTTGTTAATTGATTCGTTCTTTCCGTTCACCGATATTTTTTTGGCTATACTCGAATTTCCGCTAATTTGTAGTTTTTGAATTGCGAACAAACAAAATAAAATCATGTGAATTGGTTAAGTTCTTCTTCTGAAGCCCAACTCACTCATGAATAGCACGAAGAAACTTCCGTTGATACGTGCGCAGTCGGCTATCAGGTCCACATCGGAGACATTTATGAATGCGCCATGTTTGTTGCAACACCTACAAAATAAGCAGCTACTTCTTTTGGATCATTTCGCAAGTGGATCATCGATCAAAGGCAGTGGGTACGATAGCCAGGAGCGGGCGGTTGTCGCCAACACCATTTGCGGAAGGGCTGAGTGGAGGTGTGGCCTGACGCCCTATCGCAGCCCACCACCAATGACGTTGGCAGCAACCGGCCGCCTCCAGTAATCGTGCCCGCTGCCTTTAACACAGTCACTCAGACTGGTATTTGGCACTGATGTGATATAAAGATGCACTGTGCGCTCATGAAGTTGGGCTCATCCATGAGCGAGGTGGATAGGTCCACTTCTGTAGACCAGTACCACTCTAGTGATTTGGAAGTGCCTGGCAAAGAAGCTAGAGGGTTTTTACAGTCCCATTGTGCACAACGCGGGCATGTTGCCAAAACGATCACTACGGCACTTTTGCGACTATGATCTCGCGGCATACCTGTTGGCACTGTGCCAAAGGACGCAGCCAAATAGGTGTAAAGAGGAATGGCTATTCGTCAAAAGCGAGAGGGCGCAGACAAGTGGCTGAACGTTGGACGTGCGGCGTGTTGCGTGTCCATGACGCACTTTGTTGCAGGCGTATAAGTAGAAGGACAACCTCCTCTCACAATTCCTCAGCTTCACCGCCGCGCACTCCCTTGCCACGAAACTGCTGCCGTTATCAGCTGCGGACCAGCCTATATTATTACTGCCCACTGCGTTTATCAAATTAGACGTTCTCCTGAAGGAATGGATTCGTGAATCGACTCAAGCGTAAACAATTCTTCTGACTCTGCAGGTTTGCTGTGACACATTGGATCTCAGCAGAACATAAGGCGGCGATTAACTTGAGTTAACTGTTTCACATAACCAGTGAAACACTGCCAATGATGTGAAATATTTATAAATGATCTTCATTTTTGCGGTTGCGCTTTGTTTCTCCTTCGGATAAATTCATCTTCTAATATTATTCTCTAGGCCTTTAATACTAGTTACCTTTGCAGCGGCGTTCTTGTGCTCTCTGGTTAATTTGCTGTCATGCATGAAATTGTTAACATTACGCTGGCCTTGTGATAGCAGAATATTCCGTGAAATAACAGCGATAAGAATCGACGATATAATAGCACCCTGAAGGATCAACGATGGAAAATCAACGACGATCAACGCCGATCAACCCGAGTCAGTAGAGTATAGCAAAACTTACAATTACGCCAACAAAAATCGCGATAATTCTTCCAGCGTGTGTCTGCGGCACAATGTCACCATAGCCGTTCAGCATGAAGGTAATAGCTAAAAATTGAAAGTAAGGGCTGAAAGGACCAAAGCCAAGTGCCAGTGAGTGCTACGCTCTCGTTATGCACAGAGTAGTGGAGAAATTGAGGGCTAATCTGAGTCTGAGTGCTGCTATAATTCCAATGAGCAGTGCAAACGTGAAAGCAACCTGTCAGACAGGCACTCCTACAGTCTTGTACGTGCAGATGCTAGGGCATTCCGGGGGTTACGCTTGGCGCGGCGCCAGCCACTTTTCTAGCAATTATGGTTGCCTGCCAGTTTCCACAGTTGGGGGGGGGGGGAAGTATTCAAGCATCGCGACTTACGCAGTAAAGGCCCGCGTCCAAGCGAGCGAGAGCGGCTGTAGAGCACAGCGAGTAGGGCGTATCGTAGAAATGTCCATTGAGAAGCAAAGGGAGGAGAGTGAAGGATAGGGAGGAGGATAAGGTATACGTTGTAAAAGCTTCATTTTTTTGCGTGATNCCCTCTTGATGAATTATCCGTGACAGCAAGTGGAGATGCTCACTCAAAGATCATGTGTAGCCGAGCAGCTCCTCCTGCTAATGGCTAAACCTTGCCATCGAGTGGGAAGTACAAATGTGAAGTAAAAAAATTCGGCAATGTTGAACTACTCCTACCCCAAAAAACCCAGAAATTTTTTTTGCTGAAACGTTGCCTATAGATGTAATTCGATGCGCTGATCACGAATATAACATCCGTTTCGAGCGTTGGCATCATTTGGCGCCATTATGCGCCAATTTGGCACCGCCACTTTTTTCACCAAAGTTGATGAAAACTTGCATATGGGGGTTAATTGAGGTCCTGATTACGAGTATCACACTGATTTCAAGCGCTGGCACCATTTGGCCCCATTATGCGCCAAGATGGGGCCAAACTGGTTCGCAATAGCGCCAAATGGCGCCAGCACCAAAAATAAATGTTGGGTTCGTAATCGAGACCTCAATTAACCCCCATGTGCAAGTTTCCATCGACTTTGGTGAAAAAAGTGGTGGGCGCCAAACTGGCGCATAATGGCGCCAAATGATGTCAGCGCTCGAAACGAATGTGATATTCGTGATCAGGGCATCGAATTACACCTATAGACAACGTTTCAGCGAAAAATTTTTTTGGAGTTTTTGGGGTAGAAATAGTTAGTTCAATAGTGCCAAAAATTCAGTATGACGGAAATATTTCTCACCTATGAACCATAGAGCATTGGAATAGAGGATCGATGGTACATCCTGATCAGCTTGTCCAAATCTGAACAAAGGCCCAATTAGGTTTCGAAATTGCGTTGAAAAATTGCATCGCTTGTTGGGACTAAGTACTATATAGAAGAACTAGTTGAGGTACTCTTCGTCAGGACTGAAACTTCTGCTAGTTTTGTGGCAAGAAATCGATACAATGCTCATGGACTTTCATTTCATTCGACTGAGAAAAAATGGTTAACTTTCCGATTCATACGATCGATCTGCAGAACATTTCCTTGTTCAACAAGGGTTCAAGTGGGTCGCAGAAGACGAGAACCCGAAAAAGACACTTCTTTGGCTCATGTTTTTCCAGCCTAAGTGCCTGTGGTGTGTCCGGCGCAAAAGCCATCAGTAGGTACGACCATAACCACTGCAAACGATAGGGAGTGTGAAGATGCGTGGATTGGAGCGCAAAAGCAGCTTTCTCCACCACTGATACTATCATGAGTCCACAGCAATTGGCGGAAAATAATGCTTTGACTGCGTTCTGATTCCCGCCCCTTTACGCGCCCAATCCTCTGAAGCGATTACGACTACATTTAACTTCGATCTCCGGGGTCAAGTGCTCAACACTGAGTTCATTAGTTCTTTCAGGTGCCCATTTTGAGGTTGATCAGCAAAATCAGAATTTATTTACAATGCGCACTTCCGAATGTTCCCAAAAACATTTTTACTTTTCTTCATGAAATAACTCAAAATTCAGCGGGAGTACTCAAAATTTGACAGCTTCAATAGAAACGAGTCTAGCCTGAGGAGAGTAAAAGCTATCTGCTTACCGTTCACACTGCACAAATGTCCACGAAGTGACTATCCAGAAGACGATTGTGAAGGCCGTGAGAAAGAGAATTGGTTGTTGATCCAATACGGTTTTAAGGACAAATGAAAAGTTCACTTGGATACGATTCAACGCGGCCAATGTTCGTGTGGATGCGTCCTGAAACAGCGGGAATGATTTGCTTTGAAAGCAAAAGTTCGCTTTCACCCGAATTCGGTGAAAAGCTAAAGATAAGCTGCGCACGAGTGATGTAGAGATTATTTCATTGGAGCAGCGTTCAGACTTCGCGATGACGCGCTACGTAGCGCTGCCATTGCAATAGCGCTCCAACGCTAAATGGGAATAAAGCTATAATATCGATCGTCGTAGAAATGTCTTCAGAGAACATAGGAATAAGAGAATACGCGTTGCCTGGCTACTGCACTGACATTATGATACTCTCACGGTCTTTTATCGTCTCCCAAAACACTAGCAGGCGCCGATCCATACCAGACTATAGTCCTCATCATTGCGGACCGGTGGGGCGTGCCAGCCAGAAGGAGTGCGCACACTGTTAAAGCCGTTCTCAGCCTTTTTTGTTGCAAGCGTATGCGACAAAAAGTGGTAGAAAACGAGTCGTACGAAGGATATAATACAGTAATGCACTTGCCCGCTTCAAAAACTGGTGCAGAACGATTTTGCTAAACCGCACCAAACGCAGCCGCACTGCCACGCCCCACCGGTCCGCAATGATGAGGACTGTATGTGATTAGGCAGACCTCCTACTATCACACTCTCTCGAAACATCAGCGGCCGGCGTCGATCGATACCGGTCTGTAGCTGCGTTCCCGCATTGTAGTTCGAAGCGGCCCATAAGTAATGGCGTTTCTTTTTCTCACTCAAAATATCGCGCTGAAGAAGAGAAGTTTCTCCACTATGTTTCAAACCAAGTGGCAGACAATCCCTTGCCCTACACGATAGTTTTCTTAGTTTTCTTCAAATTTTTTTTTCCACCAATATTTTAGTGATAAAATGGAGTGTCAGATTGACGAAACTGAGCATTTTCGGCTCTCTTTTATATCCCTAATTAAAAAGCTAAAACCGCATGGGTCCAGCTGGTAAGTGCATGGCTGCAAGGCTACGTCCCTCAGGAATATTAATAATACTTTAAGTGATTCGAAGATTTCAGTTTCGACCTCACAGACAAGCATCGAACTTAATGCCCTATTCTGTCCAACTGAAAGCCTACGGATTATTTAACTGAGAATGATACCAAAAATTGAGGAATCGTTAGAGGTCTCTAAATACTCCCTTACCATTATCAAGCATCACCTTCACTTGAGTGGAGAAGTTCAAAGCTTAGTGGATGGGTTCCGCAATCAAGATGCCCCCCCCCCTGCGATGCTCATTTATGAGGTCCGAATTCCCACCACTTGATAGCTTGAACCAACTTCAAGCTGTCATAAGACGCATCTTTCTTTGGTCATATATACCACGATGTTTGAGCTTCTTCTGTAGATTGAGAGCCGAGATACAATTCAAAAAGTGGTTGTCGACAACTCTTTTTTGGGTCATTTTCCATTTAATGAAATAAAAAATCGGCGGAAATCAAGAAATACTAGGGAGCAACCATACCATCTTATATGGCAGGAAATTATCTATCAAACAATGTAGAACATATTGGGAACAGTTGTCGTTTCTCATATAAAAAATTGTGTGACAAAAAAAAACGCCATTACTTACGGGTCAACCAAATAGCGCATTGACGCGCGTCATCACGAAATGTGAACGCTGCCTACGATATTGGTGGAACCGGTGTTTCCGCAAAACGCGCGTTAAAGCATAAGTGGGTATTGGCCGGCGCCTGTCGCTAGCGCTCTGATAGAGAATGGGGAACAGGTGGCGCCAATCTATGTCCATGCCCCTGAATTCGGCGCGCATTCTTCCAGAACGCCGGTTCTGCGAGGCAAACTATGAACGCAGCCCAACAGTTCCTCTACTCGATGAGCATGTCAACGTAGCAAGGGAAATTTGAGATCAACTGCTGTAAGATGCTAAAAGGTAGGAACGAGGACGTGACGTCATAAGACACTTGTCCCCGGGTGTCCCTACCATCACCGATGGATAACATCATTACGATTTGAACATGAGAACTCGTACAAACACGCGCATTGGGCTATAATGCCTCGGTTTATATGAATCTAATCTAGGCCGCTTCAGGTGATTTCATTTAGAAAATCCATTCTGAATTTGGTACTGAGAGGTCGTTCTGGTTCTGGTGAGGTACTGTAACGTTACAATCAGTTTCTTACCTGAAATTGTTTACTATGCAAAACCATGAATCGAGCGAAGAGATAAACGCGTGAAAGCATTAGAATTGACAACGGCACATCGAGCGGGACCTAAGATAAGAAAAAAGTATTCACTAATTTCTACTAAATCGACTTCTGGAGAAATTGCATTCAAGAAAGGAAATGCTAGCAAATTAAGCGTGCCATGGCAACAAATCATTTGCTAGCGCTACGCCTTTGCCTTTGACGATTTGTGAAAGGCATTAGGCCTGAATATGGGTATAGAACAAGTATCTCAGTATAGTAAAAAAGCTATTCGGTCGGATGCACCTCTTTCATGTAGAACGATCTTCCGTGACTTGACTGCATATTTCGTGCGGTTTCTATGAATGACCAATGAAGCGTTCCAGTACCTTAAAATGCAGTAGTTTGAATAGTTAGCGAGCTCGAAATGTTCTTATGCCATATAAAAAGCGATTTTATTCACCCGGTAGCGGACAAATTGCACATAGCAGAAATTCCGTGCAAAATTGTAGGGCTCGATCGGTTGTGACAACCACACGCCAGTCGTCTGCTCCACAATCGACCAAATCAAGCTGAAATGCCCTTGTACGACACTAATCAATAAATCGATCACTTGCAAGATAAAGAGCGATGCTACTCACCACGATATCATTGATATGATACAGTACGATTTGTACTAAAAGTGCTGCAGTTGATAAGGCGACAAATAAGCGAAGCATCAGTGAGACAGGATGAGTCTGGAATCACCTATTTCTCTAAAGACATGAAAGGATCGAGGAAATGATCCACGCCGATTAATCGCCTCAGTTAAAGGCAGTTAGCAAGATAAATCCCTGAGCCGACTAGGATTAATACGCCTGGCAGGACGCCCCCGTGGCCCTGAGCGAGCGCGGCGTAGCGCCTTTTCCAGGAAAGGTACCCTTATAAGCCCCATCAAGCTACAACGCCCACCTCGCCCGCCCGCCCACAAATGGACGAGCGAGGTGGGCGTTCGGGTCGGTTTGTACCAGATGTCGTATTGCTTCATTTGAATAAAGCAAGGGGATTTACATAAACTGGCTGCGGTACTGCACTGATGTATGAAAACATAAATGCGGCCGTATCCACCGTAGCGGTTATTTGCAAGAGGCCTGCGGGAAACTCGTCCGAAATTGCTTTCTGGGTCATTGAGAACGAAGGCTTTTCTTCGCGCGTTTTTGACCTTTTCACTTCGTTTTTTCACCATTTTCACACTGTGTAGGACCCTGCTAGCATTTTGGGGCGAGTACCAAAGTATTGTGCCAACTGCCTTTAAAGGCATAGGGCACGACAATTTGGTAATTTGGGGCCTACTACTACCAACACAGGAGGCGCATCCTCCACGTCAGAGTACATCACAAACGAGTTGAATTCATTGAGCTTATTTCAGAAGACACTACAGCTATCTGCGCTCTGCTAAAGCTGAGCCTGCACTAAAGGGTATGACTCATTCTCCCAGGCTCAGCTTTGAAAGAGCGTGAAAGAGCGTTGGTGTTGAATAATTTTGATACCGTGGTCAGATCATCGGACAGCCCTATTATGCAGACTTTCATCGATTTTGATGAAAAGGGTGTGGCGCCAGATTTCGTCAGGGCTGAAAACTAATGCGGTATACGTTATCAGGACATCAACTAGCCCATCTATGCAAATTTACATTGCCTTTGGTGAGGAAGGTGTCGGCGCCAAACTGGTGCCAAATGGCGCCAATTTGGTGCCGACAGAGCGCCAAAAGCGAGTGCTATATTCGTGATCAGAACACCAAATTACCCCTGTGGGCAAAGTTTCAGCAAAAATATTTTTTTGACTGCTTGGGGTAGTAATAGTTGAATAATGCCGGATAAAGTTTATTAGCCCAGTTTGAGGTTGTCTTCTCGAGTCATCCCGCGTGGCAATCCTGCGCTGTTCACAAGTTTTACCAGAGTGAGATTCGTAAACCGGAACCAAGGAAGCAATTATAATACAAAATGGCCCCCGTTGATAAACAGCGTCAGTCTTATCTGCTGGAAAGAAAAAGCGAGCATCAACCTTCAGTAGAAGACAAGTCCTCATGCTGCAAGTGGGTGATGTGCGCAGCATTCGCACTAGGACCCAGTTCCCTCAACGGGCAGCGCTGCGACGTGTCGACACTTTGTGTCTTTATTTTACGCCAACTAGCTAGGAAAGCATGCTATGCGATCGCAGCATGCCTTTCGGTAGTAAAGATTGGGAAAATTTGCCTCGAAAAAAAAACCGAAGCAAGTACCTTTGTAATTCCGAATAAACTTTGTCCAGTAATTTCGGCGTCGATCATCATCACTGCTATCCCTAACATAGCCAGCACCAAGGCTCGGTCGGTAATTTTCACTCTAAAATGGATCTCTCAGAAAACACACCTTTTTTCTTATGAAAGAATCTAGTTGAAAGGGTTTTTTAATAGCCACCAACCGATTACTAAGCCGTTCGGATCTAACACGATACACTAACTTAATAGCAGAACTGTCGACAGGAACACCATATCTGAAAAATGCCCCTTGTAATTAATCCTTGTAAAAAAATCTTAGAAAGATACCTGCTATTGTTCCTCTTGAAATGGTTGGTCGTCGCATGGCTACCGGCACTACCATTACTCTCGCAGAACGCTACTGTAGCTGGAACACAAATTAGAGTTGGGTTTTCGGACGACGAAACTTCCACACACTTGAAAGACTGCACTCGCAGAGCCAAATACCCTCCCAGACTCCCCACTTCCCCAAGCTCAAAAATGGCTCCAACGAGGATTTCGCACCACATAGTGCTGTGGCTACAACAAAATACCTCTTTCTCCAGTGGTGGGTAGTGATTCTCCCCAATAATAAATGAACTTACAATTCTCAAGGGAGGCCTTGTGTGACTCAACAAGACTGTCTGTTATACTTGACTTGACTCGGTTGATTCGTAACTGTGAGCCAGTGTCTTCGACAGTGATAACCGGTCCATGATGAGCTGTTCGATTAGCTAAAAGACATGACTTTTAAAGGACGATGGGGTACTAAGCTGATGAACACACCATAGGACATCTAGTGAATCAAGTAAAAATCGAATTAGTGTTCAATTATTGACAGCTTTCCCATGACGGCTAAGTGGGATGGTACTCATGCCCTGCACGGTTTTCATGTGGAGTATGACGTGTGGTCAGCGTTACTTCGTGCTTGCGGGATCGCGCGCACTAGCAACTTCCTTGCCACTCGACTCCTTTTTTCCCTCTTTCCTTCTTTTCCTTCCTTCTTTCTCACTTCCCCTTTCTTATTTTCTTCTCTGACAAGCTCAGCCAGAAAATCAGACGAAAAAATACCTCTGGATCCTCACAGCGAGAGAGTACTGGCTGACAGAATGGCTCAAACTTAGTTGAATAGAGAGAGCTGGTCGATGTGAGAGACCCAGAGAGAACTGAAGCACTGCGGATGTGTGGCGATTCTATCGTACGCGTGCGGCGTGACCTGAGTTGCGGACGATAGAATCGCCCGACTCTCAAGCGCTGCAGCACTAGGGAGACGATTATAGGACACTTGTCAACCGGAAAACATCTCGCTGCGAGGGTCTAGAAGTATTTTCTCATCGCATCTACTAGCCCAGCCGTTGAAGGGAGCGAGAAAAGGAAGAGGAGAGAGTGAGAGGGAGAGGGAGGGAAGGACGGAAAAGAAGGAAGGAGGTAGGAGGGACTTTCCGCGACAGGTACCCTGAGACGGAGACGGGCGATTCTATTGTCTGCCGCCGGCGAGCAGTGCTACAAATGGCGCAGCGATCTTGGAGTTCCTCGACCGTGTACAAGATTTGTCGTCGAAGCAAGCAATTTCCTGTAGATTATAGTAGCACACATAGTACTGAACGTTGTAAAGTTGAGTTCTATAGCTGAACGTTAAAAAGTTGAGTCCTATCGCAACGTCACCCCACGCGGCGTTTATTCTGCGGCATTTGCATGACTTGGAAGCATCGCCACAACCTGCACCCTAATACTGACTCCCAGCTCTCCATGAACAGTAGTAAAGTCATTATCCTGCAAAAGAGAGGGCGCGGATTGATGCACAACTGAAGCGACCTTTTTTCAGTAATCGATGTTATCCTGTACCTGCAACGATTCGTGGGAAATGCTGATCTGGCTGCGTTGCAGTCCACGCCCTTTCACATCCCCTCTTCAGGGTTAACGACTGCATTTATTACTTCTGTTATCCATTTGGAAACGACTTGGCCCGATAGCGAGGCTCTTCTCAGAAAGGGATTTATCAACGAGAAACTCTTTATTTTTTTTATCCATTTAATTAGTCTCAGAGTCACTGATGGATGGAATCCGTCCGAAAATTTCTTACGGTTTGAGTCAAGCGATTCGCGGCTGTAATCGATCCTTGTATATGCTGGCGGTAGAGATCCCAATTTCTTTCTAGTTGACAACAGATTCCGGAATTGTTGTCGGCTGCCATTTAATCGAAGGAAGTCGGCCGAAACCTGGAAAACCAGCATGACGTTTGAGAAGAAAATTGGGTGAGCGCTAACCTCGGACTCCCTAGCTTCTCGCACTCTTTCTAATTACTCTTAACACGTCGACGTCAACATCGCTCAATGGTGGGCAACAGCGATTCAACGACGTCACTCTATGCTGACGACGTACTACTTTAGTCAAAATATGTGCGATTGTTTTGTTTTCTGTGCAGTTAATCAATACAGACCCAAAATGTCTCATATTGATATAGAGCAATTATGCCATGTAATTCGAATTTTTTTTGTACCTACCAAAAAGCACTAGTTGTTTAGAAACCATCTGAACCAGGGCACATCAATAGTTGGTGACTTTGATCAAGTCCGTAATACGGCTCCCCTCATCCATCCTACCTACCACTTTCTTAAATTTTCCCAACTTCCTACCGCTTTTTCTGCAATTTCCTGGAAATTTCCTGCTTTTTATCCAAAATTTTGCTGTCGAGCGGGAGGAGCGGGGGGGGGGGGAAACGGTACTATATAGCGCATGAGAAACAGGCGAGACCAAAAGTCAACGACCTGGGAACATTTTCTCCCAACGCCGGAAATTTCACAAATTGCTCTAGAAGACAAATACGACCCGTCCCCCCCCCCTCCCCCCTAAAGAATCTGTGAAACAAGGCAATTATCAAATCAATTATCAAAGGAAAAAATTTCTCGGAACAACTACGAACCCCCAACAACCAAATGCGTTGGGGAATCCCCAACGATGATGTACCCCGATTTAAACAACAAAAATTGCACTACATTTTCATGAGTGATTTTGGCCCCTTGCCGGCAGTCCATCTGCCTACATAGTACTGCAGAAATCGAAATGTTACATCAGAAATAAAACCGCTGTCTTTAGCTTTTACATTTGGTTCATTTATCTTAAGTGGACAGGACTGATTACTCGTCTCTTGCATTTTCAGATACATTTCAGGTTCACTCACTTAGTTGAAAAGTAACACGTTTTCACCGAAGAAAAGTCTTCGTACCATAAGCGAAAAAAAGGGCTCGTCGCCAACGAGTCTAAATACCGAATCTCACATCCCTCAGACGCGGTAGGCGTGGCTGCGTACTCCATCAGCATGACGTGTGATGAGTCATTCGTGGGGAAATACCAGTTCGACAAAATCTTTGATTTGTTTTCTGTTGGGCTAAGGCATGGTTATAGTTGTCTCGGAATCAACATATCTCACCAGCATTCGATTGAAGTACGTGGCCACGCCTCCCGCATTTCACTGATTTGGAGCATGCATATGCACACCTATCGGACGTCCACTAGTTTTCAGATGATTGCACTTAACCAAGTGCAGTACTCATTTTTGTGTTAGGTCAATAGATCTTTGAAGCAAAGGTTTTTAAAAAGGGAGACCAGCAGCACTCCTAGACGATCATATTGAAAAGTTGCATGTATTAGAAATTTTTTCTATGTCTTAAGACCACCCTAGATTTTCAAAAAACAAAAAAGGGGAAATTTGAAACACACGCAGATATTTAAGTTCCTGTTTAAAGTTGCCTTTGTCTGATTTTCACTTTTAATAAGATTGTTTACCGTAAAAGCCACATTATAAGAACCGAACGTTGATGGATGTAATAATGAGAGAGCAGAACCACAAACCACTTTTTGTGCTTTTAATTTGGAAAGGACTTGAGCAAGAAATGCCCCGGAATAAATTAAATCTCCTATTTCCTTTTTTCTTCTTCTCAATTCAATCCCCTCAATTTTGTTTTTCGCCGTTTGAAATTTCACATTCCACCGAACACATCATGCTGTCACGCTCTGTATTCATTTCAGTAATTTTCTATAATAAACATTAAATTGAATAAATAGAGCTAGAAGTAGTTAATTATAGATTAATCAAAAGTAATACAATTAATACGTGCGAAATGAGTTCTCATCAATACGAACAGCTAAGTCGTGTGAATTGTAGCAATATCTCTGCACCTCTGAGCCCATGGTGCAAATACAGTCTTCTTCGCTGCGGATGCTGGGGCGTGTCAGAGGGTCTGGGTTTGACGCGGCGCCCTCTTTCCATCCAATTGTTGTCGCTTGCTCCATTGATTGGTGAAGAAAGGGCAGGAGTCTTGCAAAACCCAGCCTTTCTGACAAGTCTCGCGTCTGCAGCGAGTTTCTGCCTGTATATTAGACACAGGCCAGGACTTGTAAGTAAGTAACCACAATAATTACGAAAATTGCGACAAATATAGTGGTATACCAACCTCTTGGAGGCATGAATCACGTCTTCGTCCAGGAGAAGGTGACAGTTGGTTCATAACCCACAATTTTCAAGCGAAAACAGTCTACGAAGAGTTTCGATGAAAAGCAACTGTTCAAACGCGAAGTTCAGTAATAGCGTTAGGATGATTACCGGCACACGAGAGAAAGCGTATGTACGATGCGACATTGGTGTTAAACCACTGAGGCGCAGTTCGGTGACGTGGGGGGGGGGGGCATTTTGCACTTTTGCTACTTCCCGTCGACGTGTCGACCTAATTAGACCTCTTCTCAAGTTCACAGGTTTTACCATGATGGCTTGACGACCTTGCTCCAGCTTCACAAGAGGTCACAACTTTCGCAAGAATTAAACTTGTAAACCGGAACCAAGGAAGCAATGCTAGTAAAAATGCCCCCCCCCCTCCCTCCGTCGCCGAACTGCGCCAACTACTGATGTTGACAGGTGACGACGTTCAGGATTAGATCGTGGAGAGCTATTCTAAAAGCGAACCAAAAGAATGGATTCGATATTTGAGACGTCGGGTAACAGACAAAGCACCGAATAAACAATGAATGATAAAATTACGCTTAGAATACCGGTAAATGACTTTCCATATAGGTCGTGCGCAACTGTATTTTTACATGGATCACCTAGTGTACTAATTGTGGAAGCTAATCTAGAAAGGCGAGTTGGAGAGAGGAGGAACCTACATTTCAAGAAAACATTCCGCAATTACCAGTCTTTCGGGTAATTACGGAATTACCTGGCATCTCCACTTAGGGCAGAAATGACTATAATGCACAGCCGGTGCATGCTGGTGCGACCATCCTACGTTAAATGGAGACCGCTGAGCCAGCGAAAATTCGCATGAAGCGGAACTGAGAAAGAGACTGGCACGTGTTAGTTGACTTCCTTGTAAAGAAGAAAGGAAAGGAAACCGTCGAGGGCCTCAAATAAAGTCCTACTCACGCTACGCGGAAGAAAAACATTCAGTGTGGATATTGGGGGAGAGGCCAGAGAAATGACGGGAGAGCATATAAACGCAGGAGAGCGCAGACAAGACATCTATCAACTTGAGCGGAGTCTTTTGAGCAACCTTGCGTCCTACCGCCTGTATCTTACCACTTTCTGACGTGAAACTTATACAGGGTGGTTCGTTGCAGTTCACACTTTTCCTCCAGACAAAGAATTCAGCTAATTATGAGTAATCGCGGGCTCTGTCTTGGATGCAGTCATACTTCCCGTACTCAGCTGATTTCTCGCCCGCGCGCCTAGTGTCCCGCTTCTTCATATGATGGTCCAATTCTCAAAAACGATAGCGAAAGACTTGCTTAGAGCACCCGATAGGGATTCCGATTTGGTCTTCACTGGCCAATCAATAACCAGCTAAAAACTCATATATGAAGCCCACTACTCATGAGCAGAAATAGCCGGAATATGTGTTTCTGCAGCGCAGCCTGTACACATACACTGCTTTCGGATAATCTCTACGACCTTAGCTACGCTAATTCTCACCCGGATCTCTGCCCAAGAAATTACCATCAGGTATAGAACCAAAGATCCTCTGATTTTCAGTTTCCGGGAGAAACCAACTCTCAGAAAATTATACCCGGACTTATCTGTCGAAAAAAGCTTTGACAAGCCAGATACGAGCCTTCTGCCCCAGGAAACAAGTAGGGCCCCTTATATTCGTTTTAAAAGCCCGGTGGACACTGTAGCGCAAGCGGCACAAGGATACCTTGATATTACATAATCGCCCCTCTCTGCATGATCTGTCCACTAACCAAGGTACACAATCTCCGCCATCCTATATCTATATTCGCACTCTTTTCCCACAACCACATGCTCTTCATATCCCGAGATTGGGGAAGGCGTGGCTGCGTACTTCACTTTAATGTGACGGCACCTTTTCCCTCAGTAGAACTCCTATTTTGGTCGACTGCAATAATGCCTTAGCGTAGGCAAAGAGTTCGAAGAATTATCCCATCAAAAAACGCATCCTGCGCTATGTTCAAATGGAGTACGTAGCCACGCCCTCTCCATTTGGATATGGGATGTATGGACTGTGCCTAGCTCGAGCTCGTAGATCAAAGTGCGTCTATGGCGGTCGAATATGCTCCCTCCATGAGTCAGTTAAGTGGTATTGTAATTGTTCAGAAGGTGAAAACTGCGGTAGAAATATCAGCTGCCTCTATTACTGCAGGCCAGGTTCCCTTAGAAAAGTACATGGTTACAGGTGAAGGGGGAACTTTTACGGAACTGATCCGCTGACTCAACCTCTTTTCTACCCCAACACGCTTTCTGGAAAAACCAGTAGAACAACAGTATTGAATACTAATAAAATGTGCAGTCATACAGTCCGAAAAGGAATCAAAAACGTCCTGAACTCAGAATCAGGAAAATGTGGTCAGTACGGTTAGTTGCATGTTGAATTGAAGCCGGTCGTCGTGCGAATGTACGTGAAGAAATGAGAGGCTTTTAATCAAGGCGAATTCAATAGCGATTACCCGAACTTTAATGAAAAGGACCAATGTGCATCGTTGCTGGCGAAATACTCATTATTCTAGAATTAGCAGAAAGTGTTGATGAACTTAGTTCAAAAATTATGATCTCTCCGAAAATGCAAGCTTTGGGTTATACTGTGAAGAGAACCGAGCCTGAGGTTTGCTCAGCTCCCAGAAATGAGCCTGAGGTTTGCTTAGCTCTGATCAACGAAATATGAGAAGGGCACAGTTCGGCTTGGTGGTGGCATTTTGCTGTTTCTCATTAATCATTACTATGTCT